TCAGCAACAAAATCAATAAAGACAATATGTGTATTCTAACCCACAGAATAAAATAAGTACCTAAAAATTCATCCAGAATAACTGAATACATAAATAACTGGAAGGGAAGGGAGAGCACCTCTTTACAGTAGAATTCAAATAAATAAATGTGGGAGGACCAAGGGAATACTGTCAGACAAGCACTACAGTATTACCAGGGGAGGCAAGAACCATCAATGGTGCTGAAATCATCAGACAAAAGCATGATGAGAAACAACATGTGCACCATCTCAACACATCTCTCCACAAGACACTTGACAAAGTACAAAGGGGAAATCAGGTAACTGGGCTGTGGAGACTGGCAGCACATCTTAACCAAGTAGACAAAGTTAACATACCAGTAATAGGACATATAAACATCATGTACTCCCTGATGTGATGCACTGAAAACATCACTTCCATAGTATTCTTGGGAAAAATCCATTTCTCACTCTGTGAAAGGGAAAACATTAAACAATCCCATGTTGAGCGACATTTTACAAAATGACCAACCAGTGCTATCTTTAAAAGTGTCAGAATCACAAAAGACAAAGAAAGACAAGGAACTGTCATAGGTGGAGAAGACTAAAGACATGCCAACTAGATGTAATTTGTATCTTGGACTGGATCCTGGACCAAAAATCATGGGAAAACACAAAATTCAAATAAGGCTTGTAGAACAATTAACTGTATTGTAACAATGTTAATTTGCTGTAGTATTTTTGCAACTTCCCTGTGAATCTAAATGTATTTCAAAATAAAAAGTTGGATTTTTTTTTAATGTAACATTTCTAGGCCTGAGATCTTACTGTTTGATCCACATTGTGAAAAATGACTCATTTTGGCTAGCTATTATAATTTTCCTACTAGGAGAGATTATCAGGTGATGTCAGATTCAGAATTTTGAATTCTAGCTCTTTTAACTACCAGATTGCAGATGACATACGAAAACAAATCAATGAATGAAAAACTTGCTAAAAACCACATCACACTGTTAACAAAGAGATATGGCAAAAAAAAAAAAGACATGAACATTATAATCATAAAGCAATGACCCAAAACACAAATAAAACAACTTGAAACATAAAATGTGAAGAATTGGACAAGGCCAACTGAACCAACATTATAACTCATTCACTCAACATGATGAATTTCTGTGGTGTTCAACTTTCATGAGTCTAATGAGAAAGATTTATTATTATGGTAAAGGTCGAACCAGATCTGGTACGTAAGTTGAATGAGGTCTGGTACGTACCCAGATTTCAAGTCAGTTATCCTCAAACAGTTTGTAGCATCCAGTCCCACTTTTCCATTGCGGATCACGCTGGATATGAATGGGGAGAGCACAGGCGAAATTCGGTTCAAGGCCACTTCAGGAGACATTTTACCTTCACTTGCAAATCACCACTGAAAGAAGGAAAGAATGGTGATCAGAGTATCCAAAGGAACTAGATACAACAAGCTGCCTGAAAACTGGCACAGCACACCCAAGTTTCTCTTGCAATGACTAAATTCCTCACTTCCTGTCTTATAGCAGACTCTTCCGAGGACCCTCCAGAAGAAACCATACCATTCCTGCTGCTCACCTACTCAGGACATATGCTCCACCACTGCTTTTCAGAAACAGCAGCAGCCCTTAAATCCAATTCCTCCCTTCCCAAGCTGGCTTCTACACTGCCTCATTCTCCTTAAGGCTGCCCTGCTGGATCTTACCATTGGCTGGTTCTATTTTAGTTGAGGCCTTAGAAAGCCTTTCCTAACAATCCTCTCCCCTTAACTAAACACACACACCACTAAATTAGGTATCCCTTCCTTTGTGTTGCCAAAAGAAGGAACTTTACTGATAATACTGTATAAAATTCTAGAATAAGCATAATTGGCTTGCAATTGTTACTTACTAGAAATTATTTACTTCTGATAAACATCTCTTAATTAAAACTATCCCTCCACAGTGTGTGATACTACTTGCTTAGCGATCTACCCCCTCAGGGACTATGTCTGGAATTCCTAGTGCTCAACAAAAGTACCTGGCACCCAGTAAAAATCTTCCAACAAATAAATGAATATGGAGACAAAAGCTAAATAAATATTTAGGTGTAGAGAAAGGGTAACATGTCTTTAAAAATATGGGAGAAGATAGTGTATCTGAGGAACAGCTGTACCAAAGATCTACTTAACAATTAAAGCAGGCAAACACACACCTATCCAGATATTAAGCAACACAAACTAACATGGATCTAAAAGTATTTTACTTTAAAGCACTAAGAGGTTCTTACACTTGAAAATACAAAAGTAAAACCAATAAATCATATCTAAATTACTTGGAAACCCATGGGGCTCAGGGAGGGAGTACTGAATTCCTCTTAATAGATCTCTAAATGAAAGCCTCTACTTTCAGAGGTGAATAAGTCAATTTAAATGATTTTCTTTCTCAACCTGAAAGGATAATCCCACATCAAAAGCAAATTAATTTCCTGCAAGTTACAAGTAGATGTTCTGGTTCTAGTTTTCTAGTTTTCACATATTATATACCACATGAGGATTTACAGGTCAGTGCCCAAATAAATGCTGAAAAATAGTTACCTGTTTTAATCATTTCAGATAATAAAGGCAAGGACTGCAGTGATATTTCAAAAAATAGTAAAACTGTGACCCTATGTAGTGATGACCCAGAAGTACCTCTGTGGCAGTAAATGTTTATACTTTAATATTCAAGTCATCCTTTCTGCAAATATAAAACAAGCTCCTCTTCTAACCACTTAACAGAATATCTCCCTCTACCATTCCAATATGTCATCACAAAGTGAAAATAAACATCTAATGCTCTGTATCATCAATCACAAAAAATCATGTACCTTTTTATAACACTTCATCACTTATCAAAGAGCTTCCACATACATTACTGCAATGGATCTTCACAATCCTGGACAGTAAGACAGATATGAATTCTCACTTTATGGATGATATAGACAACATTTACAATTTGTCTTTGAACATTATACTAATCTATACTATCATTTTGAAGCCTACTTTTTCTCTATTTTGCAACATTTCCACTTTTATTTATTTCTACCCACTGCTGTCACAGTTCTTGAAAGGATGCTTATCTAGAACATATGCAAAACACAAAAATACTCACCTGAAAAAAAAGCAAAAGGATCTAACCCACACTACAAAATTATTGTTCCAAGCTTTTCCCCATAGTACCTACTATTATTTTACCTCTCATTTCTATGAAAAAAGAACCAACACATTCTGAAAATTTACTGAGTATAAGTATTTCCCACCTCTATCTGTAATTTCATTCACCACCCCCTCGCCCAACCACAACCCTGTTCTCTGGTTAATATTGTTCCCATTTCACAGATAAGAAAACTAAAGCAATACTAAGTAATTTGTTCAGTTACAAACCTAGCAAGCAGAAGGATCAGAATTCAAATCAAGATCCCTCCGAGTCTACTACACCCATCTTCCTCTCGAATAAACATTTAGAACTTCAATCACCCAGGAGAAAAGTCTCAAAGTGAATTTTTTGTTTAAAGTATACACCTTGTAAAATTTTAACCAAAAGCCATGAATTTAAACTAATGGTTGCTTGACAACGAGAAACAAATTAGACTACTGCTGGCCTACTGCTGAAGCTGGCAGAAGTGTTTCACTAGTCAAATGCTAAAGGTAACAAACCTGCTCCACAAGCCACATTATACTTAAGGTGACAACCCATCCCAACGCAGCAACTGTCATGACCTTAGAATGACACCTGAAGGAATGAATTTCTTTATTTTCAGAACACCCATAATACTAGTTTTTGACAGTGCAAGATTTTATGCAGCATTAAAGTCTGTTTCAAACGTAGGTGTTGTGAATGCTCGAAAGGAAAGGGAAAAAAATACTGACTCCAATATCAGAGGTCACCAAACAGCAAAAGATAATGGTTCTTTGGTGAGGTTCTTTTGAGCCATGGATATACATGGGGGATTATACCCAAGAAGTAGCTTTTACACATTGCAGCACTACAGTAGATCCCACATAGGCAAAAATTTACAGTGGCCAGCCTCTCTTGAATGCTAATTGTGCAATTTATGTTTCCTGATTTTGACATACTACAGAAGGAAAATGCAGAAATACAGTTTTTAGAGGGGTCGATTGCCCCACAACAGTCACATAAGGTCTTTTGACGGGCAGCGCGGGGAGTACAAAGACGTCTAAAGCATCGTCCACTTTCTTGTAATTAAGCTGAGATGACAAACACGGAAGCATGTGCCCTGCTGACGTTATGGAACGGAAAGGGGTGGCGTCCTGCTGCGTCATATCTACGTCATTAGGCGCATGAGGGAAGTTACATTGGGGAAGCAATTTCTCCAAGGGTCAACGTTCAATGAAAACAAATCGGCTTAAACACAAAGAATGACCACCCCACTCTAGGGGACATCTGAAAGGGGACGCTTTCTCTTTTCCCGATTTGCATGATCCCCTCATCGGGCAGGGAGGAAGCAGTCAGAGCTTAATGAGGGACCAGGGGGCGAGCTAGATATCGAGAAAGAGCAGCCTTTGGCCTTGGGGGGTTGTTCTTGAGGAGACCAGCGTGATGGGGTGAGCAGGGCATCTTTGGAACGGGGGCCTTCTCTATAGGAAGAGGAGAGCCCTGGGCTTATTTAAACCACTGTCCTCAGCGCCACCTGTGCGACTCGGGATACAACCGCCCCGCACCAGCCCCAGTCCAGGTACCTGGAACTTAGTCCGATCGGTAACCGGCGACTACGTGGGGTACAGGTTACCCGAGCGCGCCCCCGACCGACGCGCCGACCTGCGGGCGCACCGCGGGCCGGGTGCGTGCGCGCCCCTGGACGTCCCGCCCCGCCCCCTCTGTGGCCCAGAAGGAGGGCGGCGTGCGCGCTCCCGGCCGCGCCAAGCCGGGCTCTTGGCGAGGCGTCTCCGCGGTGCCTGAAAGTTCCTTCGCCGGCGCCCGCCCGGTGGGTGGCGAGCAGCGCGGAGTCCGGACCTTTCTGAAGGGCGCTGTAACTAGAGGCGGTGCAGGGAGACAATTCCTGGAAGCAGGCAGGGAAGTTGGTGGGCGGGGTTGTTTCGGGCATTCGGGTGGGCGACCCGCAGAGGCGTCTGGAAGGCCCGCGTCTTTAGGGAGCCGGGAGCGTAGGAGCGGCGTCTCTGGTTACAGGGTCGGGCAAAGGGCAAAGGTCGGCCTCCAGTTTGGCGAGTCCCTGCTTCAGAGAATGGCTGCGTCTGGGGGATCCGGCAGGCAGTGGCAGGAGGAGGTGGCGGCGGTGGTAGTGGTGGGCTCCTGCATGACCGACCTGGTCAGGTTAGTCCGGGGCGGTGGGCAGTCTGCGGTCCGCGGTTGGGGGCGGACTCCGCTCTTCTCGCCGCCTTGGCACTGGGGATATGGGGATGGAGAATGTTCGCGTTTGGTGGGAGTTTCCCCAGCCCGCAGCCTGCCTTCCTGGCACGGAAGAGGCAGAATTTGATTTTGTAAAGGTAACTGTCAAGTGAGGAAGCATAGAGGCCAGGCTGTAGTGAAAGCCCTAATGTTACTAGAAGCCTCCAAAGACCTGCTGTTGTCTTGACCAGGCTGCCGAGCCTCTCCCCTGAGTAGCAGCCTAAGTAACTTTGATCAAGTGAGTTACCTCTGAGCGTGAGCCTACCTCACAGGGTTGTTGTGAGGACTAAATGAAGCTTTGTGAACCGTAACACTATCCAGGTTGGGTATTATTTGTCCGAACTTGTATAAAATGAGTGGAGCAGAGGGCAAAACGGGATCACTCACCTTTCACCATATTGATTACTGGCATTCCTAAAATATAACTACAGCTTATTATTAGAGTAACCACGGGTTACCTTATGGCAACCCATGAGTCAAAAGAAAATCCAGTAAACACAATTTTCACAACCATTAAAAAACTGATGAAATAATGAAAGAAAATATGCAAAATGAATATAGTTGAGTTAGGTCAATGAGGTTGGATGGTGAGATACCTCCAATTTATTTTCTCTTTAAAATGAAAATGGCTTTTCTAATTTAGAAATAATATATATTCATTTTGAAAAAAAATCACATATTGCAAGAGGATCCTACCATTCAGATTGTTTCATTGTAATATTTTGGAATAGCTTTTCAGGTATAATGTTACTTTTACATGATAAAGGTTCAAAATGATCACACATACTGCAGTAAGACCTCATCTGTCCTGCAATCTTGCTTTTCCAAAGAATAGCAGAATTAACCTGGAAATAAATAAAAAGGCCTTGGACAATGATAAGTCACCAAAGCCCTGCACCACCTGTGTTTTACTTAGAAAAGACTTATACGGTTTTCATGTAACAGATTTAACCTTACATTGCCTAAAATGTTTATAAGCTACATTATCAAATATCCATACCCAGATTAGTTAGATGGAGAGTAGAAGGGGAGAAAATGCCAAGGGCGGGTATAGTGGTTGCCAAAAATCTGAAAGTGAGTAGGTGAGTGCAACAAGCAACAAAATAATTTTAAGTGCCAATAGCCTTTATTTTTCCACAAGTATTTGAGCTACCTGTTCAGACACTGTGCTGCTTTTAGTGACAGAGCATCAAGTTCAGTCTAATTGTGGACATTTGGTGAAGAGGCCTACATATCTTTTTCTAGAGCAAGAGTCATTAAACTTTTCTGTAAAGGGCTGGAGAGTAAATATTTTGGGCTTTTCAGGCAACATATGGTCTAGGTCACTTTTTTTTTTTTTAACAACCCTTTAAAAATGTAAAAATTATTCTTACTTACCAAACTTTACCCAAAAACAGCCTGCAGGCCGCAGTTTGCTGACCACTGTCTTAGCATCATACCCCTATGGTAATTGCTCTTGCTAGTGATGACTCTTTTCAAGAAAAGGTAATATGATACTTGTTAAATTTTATATAAAAATAGGACGTGATTCATTTTAGAAATAGTATCAAATATTGTAAAGTTTAGTTACAGGAAAGAATAAATCTTCAGTAAACCTTCAGATGTCAAAAATATTTCATTCCTTAGGAAATCCATCTAGCTGCATTTTTAACCATACTTTCATAAGTGAAGTGGAGACGAGTGAGAAAGCTGAACAAGTTTTCCATACACCCTACCTGAATGAGATGGCAGAGTTCGAATTCAGAACCACTTTCTTGTTAAACTAAGTCAGAGCCTTCTTGAAGCTTGACCATCAAACACCAGAGATAATTATAGTACTTTCTAAAATGAACACTCTCCAAACGCTGGGGAGGCTGGGGTGTCAGAGGCCCATGTTAGCATCTCTCAGGATTTTAAAATCTCATTTAAGTGCCCAGAGGAATTTACAGATTATTTATCCCAGCCCTTCAGTTTATAGATGAGTAAACTGAGGTCAAGAGAAGTACGAAACTCTTAATATTGTGGATAATCTTTCTAGTTTGTCTTCTCTTGCCATTTTCTTTCCTTCATAAAATATCCAGGCTTCTGTTCTTCACATGGATCACTAGTAAAGATTTTATACCCCCGTAGACTGCCACAACTTTTCTACAAATTTGTCATGGTTTCTGATTACTTCTGCCTCTGAAGATCTTTACAAACTACCTGAGTACAGGATTTTAATTTAAAATTCTGCATCTGTGATAAACGTGAATCCAGCTTAGCTAATTACAGTGTATATCATGATTGTATTAGTTTCCTATTGCTGCTCTAACAAATTACCACAAATTTAATGGCTTAAACAATACCAACTGAATATTTACAGTTCTGGAGGTCAGAAGTCTGCCACAGGTATCACTAGGCTAAAATCAAGGTGTCTGTAGAGCTGCATTCCTTCTAGAGACTTTAGAGGAAATAGGTTTTCTTGTCTTTTTCATCTTCTTGAGGCTGCCCACATTCCTTGGCTCATGGCTCCTTCCTCCTCCTCCAAAGCCAGCAATGGGCAGCCAAGTCTTTCTCACACAGCATCATTCTGACACTCCCTTTTCTACATTATAAGAACCCTTATGATTATACTGAACCCACATGGATAATTCAGGATAATCCCCTTACTTCAAGGTAATCTATTAGCAACGGTAATTTCCCTTTGCTGTGTAACATAATATATTCACAAATTCCAGGAACAAGCAGGTGGACCTTTGGGGCAGGGCTTGGGATGGGGAGGCAGCTGTATTCTGCCATCACATTGATTAAGTTCAAAATAAAAAAAAAAACCTTATGATGCTTAGAGCTTAGAGAATCATTGAAGCCTGTCAGTCCATCCTCCACATTTTCCAGATGAGGTAACTAAAAGTAAATGACTTACCCCAAATCACACAGCCAGTCAGTGGCACAGTGAAAGCTAGACCCTTGGTTTCCTGCCATTATCTTCCCATTATGTTCATAGTTTTGTCTGGCTAGTATTTCTTGCTCTTTTCATCTGCAGTTCGTTTGAGAGATTATAGTCTATGCATTCATTGTTTACCTTATAAACTGATGAGAAATAATAACTAAGGATTTATAATTTTCAGGTCTAAAGATAGTATCTTCATTACTGTTATGTACTTTATTTCTAAGTTTAACTGTAATCAGCCTGGTCACTCATGCCTGTACTGTAGATCCCTTTAAAAATAAAACTATCTCAGTAATTAAGCTCTCTTGGACAGCATCCAAGTCCAACTCACTTTATATATTACATTACTGTGTGCCAGATACTGTTAATTCCATCAATGAGCAATTTTTTTCACTTCTAATTCAGTCTGCTATGAACTCTATATACTATATATTAGTAAGCTCTATATACTAATAATTTTAAAAAATCATTAGCTCATCGAACATAGCAAACAATGAACATTATTTAATACCCAACCATATTTATCACTATTCTCTCCTTCTTGAATAATTGTCTCTAAAGTTCCACATTGTAAAGATAAATCAAGCCTGTTCTTGTGGAAAATTAAGTCAAAGTTCCTCTGAAGACATTTCCATGAAAACCCTACAACAAATGAACTTTCTTAAGACATTATGCTCATAGACCTTCAGTAATCATGCTTTCCCTAGTAACCTTTATTGTGACATGTATCGCCAATTTTTTTTCAATTATTTAACAAATATTTACTGATTTTATACTGTTTGCTAGGCACTTCCTAGGTGCAGAAGATACAGCAATGAAAACACAGCCAAAAATGCCCACCTCATGGAGTTTACATTCTAGTGGAATAGACAAACAGAAGTAGAAATAAGTAAAATGGATAGTATGTTAGATAAATGCTAAGAAAAATGAAGCATGAAACTGAGATTAGTAATAATTTTAGATCATTGTAGTAATTTTAGATCTTTGTCCACAGAAAGCCTCCCTGAGAAGGTGGTTTTGAGGAAAGACCTAAAGTAGGAAAAGAAACAAGCCATACAGATACCCAGAAAGAATGTAAGCCATGCAGAGCATATGCAAAGGCCCTGAGGTGGGAGCATGCCTCTTATGATGAGTGAACAGGGAATCCAGTGTGGCTGAAAAAAAAGAAACAGAGCAGGAGCAATTGATGATTAAAGGACATTGGGTAATACCCTGAATGAGATGAAAAGCCACTGGAGCATTTGAGTAAAAGAGTGACATAATCTAACTTAGATTTTTCTTTTTGGTATCATTAATTAAATTACATGAGCAACATTGTGGTTACTAGATTCCCCCCATTATCAAGTCCCCACACACATACCCCATTACAGTCACTGTCCATCTTACTCTATAGTAAGATGCTATAGAGTCACTACTTGTCTTCTCTATGCTATACTGCTTTCTCCATGCCCCCCCTACATTATGTGTGCTAATTGTAATGCCCCTTATTCCCCTTCTCCCTCCCTTCCCACCCCCCAAACCCCACCCCACCCCCAAGTCTCTTTCCCTTTGGCAACTGTTAGTCCATTCTTGGGTTCTGTGAGTCTGCTGCTGTTTTGTTCCTTCAGTTTTTGCTTTGTTCTTATACTCCACAGATGAGTGAAATCATTTGGTACTTGTCTTTTTCCGCCTGGCTTATTTCACTGAGCATAATACCCTCTAACTCCATCCATGTTGTTGCAAATGGTAGGATTTGTTTTCTTATGGCTGAATAATACTCCATTGTGTATGTACCACATCTTCTTTATCCATTCATCTACTGATGGACACTTAGGTTGCTTCCATTTCTTGGCTATTGTAAATAGTGCTGCGATAAACATAGGGGTGCATATGTCTTTTTGAAACTGGGAAACTGCATTCTTAGGGTAAATCTATCTAACATATTTTAATATGACTACTATGGGAGCTATGTGAGAATAGACTGAAGGAAGGCATGGGCAGAAACGGGGAGACCGTTCAGAGTCAGTCACAGTAATCC